GTGTGTGCACAGCCCCTACCCGGCTGAGATTCCCTGGCTGCGCCGCAGGCAAGAATACAGTCAAGACCCCTCACGAGTGAATGCGCTAGTAAGGCCCTATGGTACTACTATTGTTATACTGGGGAAGGCAAGAAAGGAGAGAGACGCTATCGTTGTAACCATACTAGGTAACATGTCATATTGCCGCCAAGAACGCCGTGAGCCTCCTTGGGGATGATTTTCCGGGTTTACATCGATTGCGCCGCGGAACTGTCTTCACTGGGCCACTCAACCCGCGGCGTTCCGAGTCGGGGGAAGGGGGTTGCGGTCAATAGGAGAAGCCTAGGGAACGGGTTAAGATTTCGTAAACAAACGGAGTGGGGCGTTTAGGGATCTCAGCCAACGGAGCCCCGGAAACGCGTCGAGATTTCCCAGGCGGGCCGGGTAAGATGAGGTGGGGCGGGAGAGGGGTACACCCAATGGTTGTACACGGATGGGCGTATCTCGACGCATTCCGTGACGGTATAGTAGAGTAAGTCGTAGCTCGTTCTGAATACGTGTGTGAACGAAGACATTACAGTTGTATAACCAAAGAGGGTTAAAATCCGAAGTTATCCGATGATCTCACGAACATAGCCCCAGATTTACACAAGCTTGCCCAATCAAATGCCGTTTGTATACGACGGAACTCGTATAGAGCGTGTTGGCGAAGTCCACCTGGTATATCGCAGATCGATTACACTAACTGGTGTCGGCAATGTGTCCTGGGTTATGAGCCAATGGATAACGCCTGAATTATCATGCCCGATACTTGAGTCAATTTGACTTGATTTCCTACATCGTCTTCCAGCGATCTTCTTTAATGCCATCCGCCGGTGAGTGAAGACTGAAGGCAACATGCGACTTTATCAATGCCGTCATGGAGCGAATTAGATTTCCGCCGCCTGCCTGGCATCATACGAAATACCCACATCCGGCGCTCTACACTCCAGTAAAGTGAATATCCATTCAATTGTTGAGAAACAATGGAGGAGAGGAGGCGAAGATTATACTACGTATGTTAAGTATTTGATTTAGTTTTCGGAACGCGTATCCGGACTCTAGTTACTATGGTGTGATGGGTAAGTCTTTTACCCACAACAGGTAGTTCTTGGCTTTGACCCCACAGCCAGCGAGGAATCACAACCCAACTGGCTGGACAGTCACCTAAGTGTGCGAAGTACCAGTGCTTAGATCTGCCTGCTTACAAGCCACAAGATACCTGACAGGGGTAAAAAACTTTGGCCTGGAACCATAGTAGATCGATTCGTGCCCCTTAGCCTACAAAAAAGTGGGCTATCGGTCCTTGGCAAACCGAAGCCTCGAGACGCAGACTTCCTTCTCAATGGCCAGGGCCGTTTCCTTGTGGGCCTTGCAGCGGATGCTGTCCGTTAGGTACACTAGTTAACCCACCCACCCCACAAGAGAGCCACCCCCACATCCGAGCCATCCGAAATTGCTGCATCGTCAAGAACATCCCTTTTTTCAAACTATCGCAACAATTGCTATTTGTCGCCAAACAACGCCATCTTTTTGGGATACCTTCTCTATTACACCATGAAGCAATATACTGAGTTTGAGCTCCAACGAGCCCTTGTAGACGTAGCAGATGGCTGCCCTATCCGCCAGGCTGCTCGTAACTGGGGTATACTATACCAGACCCTTCAGTATCGGCTGCACGGCAGGCAAAGCAGAAATACTGCGTGGGTTGATTATCAGCGATTATCGCAGTCACAGGAGGCTAATCTGGCTACTTATATATCTACCCAAGCTGCCCTAGGCAGTGCCCTTACCTATCAGCAAGTGAAGGGCCTGGCAGAGCGTATGATAGGCGATACCTAGCGACCTCTGGGGAAGAGATGGATAGCTTGATTCCTGCGGCGATACCCATTAATCAGGACCCAAAGATGCCGATTGATCGATTCTAGGCGATATAGAGCCTATACTGTAGATGCTATCCAAGAATGGTTCAGTTATCTAGATCTGCTAGCAATCAAGGGTATTTATCCATCTAACCGATGGAATATGGATGAGACTGGCATCATGGAAGGCAAAGGAAGCAATGGGCTGGTGTTAGGCTCTGCGGCATCGCGATATATCTAGAAAAAACAGCCTGGATCTAGGGCATGGATATTACTGATTGAGTGTGTGTCTGCTGCTGGGACCTCTTTACTTCTCCTTGTTATATATAAGGGCAAGTCAGTCCAGGCTTAGTGGTTCTTATCATCTAACCTATCTAGATATGCTGGCTGGCACTTTATAGCATTAGATAATGGCTGGACGAATGACCAGACTACCCTTGAGTGGCTGAAGAAGGTCTTCATCCCAGGGACTATGCCTAGCTAGCCAGACGAGGCTAGGCTACTGATTCTAGACGGCTATCATAGCTATATAACAACAGACTTTATGTGGCAATGCTTCCAGCATCATATCTATCTACTGTTTTTACTGCCGCATTCCTCTGCTGTCCTCCAGCCTCTAGATGTATCAGTCTTTGGCCTATTAAAGCAGGTATATTGGAAAGGGGTTAGAAGTCTAGGTGACTGGATAAGTGACTTAACTGTTGTTGGCAAAAAGGCATTTCTAGACTGTTATTTTGATGCGCGTAAAGCAGCAATAACAACCCAGAATATAAAGTCTGGCTGGAAATGGGCTAGGTTATGGCTAGTATCTATATGGTGCCCTCTATCTAACTCCCTAGTATTAAAAGTATTATCTAGCCAGCTAGCCAGCTAGCAAAGCAGTAGCCAGTAATGGGATGAGGCAGTATCTGCTATCCCATGGTTAACCCCTCGTTACTCTGCTGATCTGCGGCATCAGTTACATCTATTCAACTAGCTGGGCAAGGATGCCCTAGATACCTATACTATCCGTCACCTATCTAGAAAGCTGCAAAAGGGATATGATGAGCAGGCATCTAGACTAGTAATTGTAGAGCAACAAGCCAGCGATCTGTAGGCCTGTCTAGATAACTAGCATAAGGGCAAGAGGAAAAAGGTCCCAACATCTCCTAACAGCACCTTTGCGACAATAGCCCATATCCAGCGGGCGCAAAATACGGATATCGGCGATACAGATATTCTAGATGAATCCAGCGCATCTGAATTATCTAGTGAAGCCGAAAGTTGCATCTGGGTGGGTGGAAGAGGGAGTGAAATAAGTGGTGATAGTGGTAGTGATGGTGGTGCCGATGGTGGCTCGGATGTGGGGGTGGCTCGTTAACAGGGTGGTTGTGTTAATGAAGGCCCGAAGCGAAGGGAGTGAAGGAACCCTAAACCAGGAATGACTCAGTATTGCGAAGCAGTTTCGTTCACCCAGGCGGGTCGGGTCGTGATTAATATATTGACCTGATGCTAGTGATGCAACCTGCCCAAGCGGCAGGAAGAAAGCGAAACATGCATTCTCAATACGAGGATCGCAATTCCTTGGTATTCCGAAAGCGATGGGGTGTTGAGGGAATCTTGAAAGGTATATAATCCATAACAATTCTCCTCTAATACAAATTATCAATTCTTCGAGACACTGCACCATGTCAGCCTAATCGCACATCTTGGTTTGCTATCTTTCAACTCGTTTCCCAGAAGTTCTATGCAATGAAAAGTCATTTTATTGGACCAGTCCAGCTTGCACTGGTCCATGTCGCGGCTGTTGCAAACGGCCTTTCCAGCCCAGCAGCATACTCGAGTACCTATAGTACATTTCTGAACCCTGCTGCTAGAGACCGCCCACGTTTCCGATATTGGCTACCCGATGCCAGTGTAGATACCGAGGTTCTTAAGCATGATATCAAGTCAGCTGGGTCAATTGGTGCTGGAGGCGTCGAGTTACTGCCATACTACAACTATGGCGGCGGACTGGGTGGCCCACCACCTGGGCTCTCATGGTCAGAGTACGGTTTTGGTACCCCGGCCTTCATCAAAGTCTTCAACGCAGCTCTCGATGCACACCAGGAGAATGGACTTGCGATGGACTTTTGTCTCGGGCCGAGTGAGGGTCAGGGGGTTCCCGCCTCCCCAGATAACAAAGGTCTCCAGTGGGACTTAGTAAGTATTGATGCCCTTTTACTGCAAGACACCCCCTCTATGACCACGTCTTTCATTACCATTTACCATGGAGCCAACATCTCTGCTCATAGATAACATCTACCTCGTTCGTTCCTACAGACGGACAGTTCAACCAGACGATTCCCGGCTGGAATACTGGACAGTTGGTAGCTGTAGTATCAGCTCTGATTGTATCGTCGAAAGACGCCACTCTTGTTGGAGAAGGCTTTAGCGGCCCCGTTAATGTCACATATGAACAGATTGTCCTAGACCATACCAGCTTGGAGGACGTTACAGGCCTGGTTTCCCCATCATCGGGAGCCCTTACCATCAAGTTGCCTCCTGCTGCCGGGGACACTCGATATACAATATTCGCATTCTATCAAAAGCTATCAGGACACAAAAACCTTAAGTTCGAGTCCAACGCTTCGTCTACGATCTGGGATAACGGATCTTACACAGTGGACCATTTTAGTGGCCATGGTGCTAAGGTGACAATAGACTTTTGGGAAAAACACATCTTAGACGACCAAACAACGGCCAAGCTCAAAGAAGTTGGAAACTATGGCAAGTGACCTGGATGACTATTGTCAAAGGTTTATGGCTAACGAGACAACAGGCTGGGAAGACAGTCTTGAGCTAACGTCCAATGTTTCCTGGTCACCTACCCTTCCAGCAAGATTCAGCAAGAAATTCGGCTATAGTTTGAAATCGTTTCTTCCCCTTATCATTTTTGGCAACAATAACTTGGTCCTTCAAGGTGACGCACCGGGGAGACTTCAAGTTTTGCTTGACCGGCAGGAAAAGGGCCAAGGATTTGTCAACGACTACCGAGCCGCGTTAGCGGATGGTTATCAGGAATACCTCAAAACCCTACAAGATTGGCTTAAGGGTGCTCTCGGCCTGCAACTCTCAACACAGACATCATACAACCTGCCGATGGATATGCTTGCTTCGGTTCCTTTCGTTGATGCTCCTGAATCTGAGAGCTTACAGGCTCGTAACAAGGTTGATTCGTACAGGAACTTTGCCGGACCCGCCTACTTGACCGGAAAGAAAATCATATCGAACGAATTAGGAGCAGTGTTTGCCAGAGGTTTCAACCTTGCCATTCCAGAGCTGCTGCAAATGGCTAACCGTGGCTTTTCCGGGGGCCTTAATCAGTTTGTGATCCACGGACAATCATATACTGGAAACTATCCTGCTACGACCTGGCCTGGGAATGCGCCTTTCAGATACGTGGTCTCGGATCTTTGGAACAGCAAGCGCCCCGACTGGGACAATGGGCTGTCTCATGCTCTTGATTACATGGCGAGACTTCAATATATCCAGCGTCAGGGAATTCCGCGTACCGATGTGGTCATTTACAACAAGCATTCCGCCACAGACGGGTACTTGCCGATCGTCTACGCTGCAGACGATCTGACAAAAGGAGGTGGGTGAAAGACAAACTTTCACTTTGTTTAACTGCTTTTTCGTTGCTATCATAAGAAGGTGTTCTCAGCTGATCTCCGGTATGATAGGCTGGTCTTACAATTACCTTTCGCCCGATAATTTCAACCAGCCAGAGGCTTTTGTCGACAACGGACTTCTTGCCCCCAATGGCCCTGCATACAAGGCTATGGTGCTCTTAGCAACGCAGAATGTGACCCTTCAAGGGGTCGAGAAGCTGCAGCATTTTGCCCAGCAGGGCTTGCCGATCATCATAGCCGGGGGTATACCAGGATACTATCCAACCAGCAACTCGTCCGCCAAAGCCGTTGTGGAGTCTCGTATCTCGAAACTCCTCTTGTCAAAAAATGTATACCAGGTGCCTGAAGGCGGCGTCGCCGATAAACTTATTTCTCTGGGGCTGCGGCCAAATGTTGGCACCAAGACGAATGAGACATGGCATGCAACTTGGCGAGAAGATCTCGATAACGGCATTGACTATCTCTACGTCTTCTGCGATGGCCCTTCGTCGTCTGGAGAGTTGACAGTCAAGTCAACCAAAACGATTTACGACTTCGACACTTGGACCGGAATGCGCTCACCGCTCCTGAATTACAGAGTAGACGGCGACTATAGTGTTATTCCCATCAGTCTCACAGCTAACCAGACACTGGTTCTCGCATTTACAAACAAGCAGTTTGAGGGGATCGACTTGCCAGGCATCCATGCCACAGAGCTACCGCGGAGTGTGCTTGGTTATGTCAATAACGGCTCTAGCATTTGTCTGCAAGTTATCGCAGGTTCCGGAAGTTGGGCTAAATTCTCATCTGGCAAAGAGATAATCCTCAACAGTACAGCACCCGAGGCATTTGAGTTGCAAAATTGGGACCTCGTTGCAGAGCATTGGGCGGCTCCTGAAGACATGCAACAGGCGCATGTGGTCGCTTTGAAGAGGAATACCACACAATCGGTCGATAAGCTGGTTTCATGGACCGAGATAGAAGGCTTACAGAACATGTCGGGAGTTGGATATTATGTGACGAGCTTCACATGGTCAAAGCCTCTACAAAGCTCCATAGGGGCGTATATCAAGTTCCCGGCAGCTTTGAACGCAATCATCTTACACGTCAACGGCCAGCGTACACCGCCCCTAGATTACACTAATCCCATTGCAGACATCTCAACTTATCTTGTTGAAGGGCGGAACGAAATCACAGCTTCGGTGCCTAGTACGATGTGGAACTACATACGAAGTATTTGGAATAATTTAGAAAACGGTGGCCTTCAGCCGCTGTTGCCAGTGTTGCTGCCTAGAACAGCGAACGGTCTTGTTGGAACAGTACAGGTCATTCCATTTGAAAAGATTTGTATTTCATAATGTTTTTGTTAGTCGAACGGCATAGATATTACCTGAACAACCAGCTTCATACGCAGCTCCACATCCCACGAAGCTATTCTCACTAAAAGTGCTCTTGTTTGTCACGCTATAACAGTAGAGGGACCTGACCCCCCAGGTAACATCAGGTTAAAGCTAGCAAGCCGTGGAAATCAAACGTTCAGGCAAAGGAAAGGGCAAGGCGTACACTAGCCATGTTAAGAGAGGAAAAGAATGTTACGACCCAACAAGTTACTAACGATAACGCCCCACCCAGACAGGGCAAAGCACAGGTGTCAAAGGACAATAGAACAGCCCACCTACAGGCACTATGGCGCAGTGCGGCACAGCCACGAGGGACAGCCACAGGGTTATAAATTTCAAGATACTATCTTGGGGTGCAAGGCCCTTTTAACCAGCAAAAAGCTAGAGATTAGCAGGCTGAGAATCAGCATTTGTTCAATATAAGACCTACGTTTTGCAATTATACTATTCCTGACTACAGTTCTTTTACAACAGGCAGCACGGTATTTGTATAGATAGCATATAAGGACAGACAGATAACTCCCTGGAAAAAGAAGAACTATAGTATAGGTCACGTACAGATAAAATAAGGTAAATACTATATAAGACCTACTAATTAATTAATAGATATAATGTATATACATAGCGAGCGGATTGACATAGTAAGCGGATCATTTTCTTATTGTATATAAAATTAGGGTTTGTCTTTTATTTTTTTAAAATCTAACTTAAGTCTAAAATATCTATAAATTTACATTTTATTACTAAAAAGAGTTATATACTTGTAAAAAGTTTCAAAATAGTTCTAACCTTAACCTTAACTTTTATACTTACTTAAGATCTTATTATAACCTACTAATAAGAGGTTTAGATTTAAGGTTAGAGTTATAATTATTCTGAGATTTTTTATTAGGTATATATAAAGTTATAGATATTTTAGATCCAAATTGGATCCTTTAAAAAAAAGCTTACTTTATATATAGTAAGGAAGTAATCTACTTACTATATTAATCTACTTACTTTATATATTAGAAAGGGGTAAGGTTTTACGTTTTGTTTTTCCTTTTATTAGCCTACAAATATATTCTTAGGCCTAATTAGACTTCTAAGTATAAAAAAGGACTCTAGTTATATATTATTATAAAAGTTAAGCAAATAAATAAATAAATAAGCTTAATATCTTTAAATAAGTACTTAAATAAATATAAATAAATTCTTTACTTTAATATTAAGATAAGATAACGTACACGTATAGCGAGTTACCTATCATAGCGAGTTACTTATCTTCTTCTACCCTTCTACCATTTTTATAAGTTAATTAAACTATAACATATAAAATCAATTAAAACTACTTATTACCTTTTTCTTTATTACTATTCTAAACTATTTTATAGGTTTATACGTTATATCTAGACTTTTTATAATTATTATATTATTATATATAGTTTAATACTTTTTGTATAACTCTCCTTTTAAGGGTTATTTTCTCTTTTAGTATTAATATTTTTGTATTTATTTATAGTACTTTTGCTTTAGTAGTATTAAGTAACCCTCTAAGACGTAGTTAGGTCTTTTTTGCTTTTTAGCATTTACTTAATACTTTTATTTTTATATAAAGCTTATAGTTCTTAGCTTTAATAATAATAAGCTTATAAGCTAATTTACTAATACCTTTAGCTTAGAAGTTAATTACTTTATATATTAGTATTAGTAAGTTATTTTGTTATACTTAGATCTTTTTTTTAAAGGAAGTAGTACTTTATATGCTTTTTAGTGTTATAGTTGGTGTTTTTATATCCTAGGAGCCTTAGCTGTTTAGTTATAAGGTTAAGAGTGTTAGTGTTTTTGACTTAAAATTTAACTAAGAAATAACTATTTTAGGGTTAAAAGGTATAAGGCTTATTTATCTAAAACTAGTTTATATATTATTTTTACTTATTAAAGTAAAAAATATTACTTTAAAAGGAAAAGAAAAATTATTTTTAGTAATATATAAAATTTATATTTATATTATTTTTTTTATTTTTTTATTATATAAGTATTTTAATAAGTTAAAATACTTAATATTAAAAAGCTAAAGCTTATATAATAAATAAGAAAATAGATAAAAAGTAATAATATTTTATTTTTATAATATTTATTAAAGTTAATTAATTTATAGCTATTATAACTATTAAGGATTAAGAGGTAATAAAAGCCTTTTATATAAGTCTTTATATACTAATTAAAGTATTATAGCTAATTTAAGCTAATATTATTTATTATTTATTTATTCTTATTTAAATAAATATATTATATAGCTGAGAATTAGCTATTAGTATACTAAAAGAAAAGATAATATTTTTTTTTTAATAATATATAAAGGTATTACGTAGCTATTTATACATATACCTTAAATAATAGAAACCTATTTCTAATTACTAGTCTACTTTATATAAGGCCTTTTTTTATAGTTAAATGTTATAATAACCTTTATATATAACTAATAGTATTTTTATTAAAAACCTAGTCTTATTAAAATTATAGATATTATTATAAAGTATTTTATATTTTATGATTATATTTTATATAAGTATAAATTAGCTTTATACAATTATTAGATTTTTAGTTAAGGCCTTTTAATTGTTAATTTAATATTAAGATTATATTTTTAATTTAAAAATATATTATATAAAGTTCTTTACTTATTAAGGTCTTATATACGTCTTATTATATATATTTAAGAGTTAATTAGTTATTTTGTTAAAATAATAGCACTAGCTAGTTATATAATATACACGACTCAGAGACACACATTATAGCAGAGGGTATAGACTGGATATTTGGCTCTTGGTTATCTATTAATGGAATTAAAAGTATATTTATACTAAATTAATTTAGGAATATATAAGATTATATATCTTGTATATGAAAGCTAAGTCTTATAGTTAAAAAGATAATTATAGAAAATATATTTTTAGTTTATTTTAACTTTTAATTTAAGTATAATTATATAAATAGGTTCTCTTAAGAAAAAAGAATTTATTTAATACTAATTAGTAGTTACTTAGTAATTTATATGATTGTTTTATGTAATTATAGATTAGTAAAAGTAAAAAGATAAGACTTAGGCTTTATAGCTAGGCTATTAGGTAGTCTTATACTTTATGTAAAGTAAGAAATCCTTAGGGATATTTAAAGGGTTATACTAAAAAGTCTTCTATGCTAAGAAGCCTTAATCTTACTTATTATTACTTATTAAGCTAAACTAGGTAAATAGGATAAAGATAACTTTTGCTTTATTATTATATAAGACAAATTTTTATTATTACTTATTAAGCTAAACTAAACAAGAATCTTTATTATACTATATATAGAGTATAAAGTATATACTATAGTACTAAATAAACTAATTTTAATATTATATAATATAAAACGACTACTAAATATAATATAGCTTCTTAAAAGGATCTAAAAGATAATTATTAAAGCTAATATAATAATATTAATAAATACTTATTAATATATAAAGAAATAAGTATAAGGAGTAAAGTCTTACTATATATATAAAAAAAGACTATGAATCCTAGACGCTAAGGAAATCTAATTAATATTATATAGGTACTATTTAAAGAAGAGATAACTATATATATTACATATATTAACATAGAAATGCTTTATTTTAAGTAATAAAAGGAAAACTTAATAATATTATTATATAAAGATTTTAATAAATAGTCTACCTTTTAATAAAAAAAGGTTTATTATGCGTTTAAGGTAAAGTTTATATAACTTATTAAGCTAAAGGGATTTTAATTACTGCTAATTAGAAATATAAATTAATTGCTAGTTAAATTTATTAAGGAGATTAAGAGGAAGTTTAATAAGTAAAAAGAATAGCTTTTTATTTATATAGTATTTATACTAAGTTATATAATTATAATAACTTAAATACTTATTTAAAACCTTAAATTAACTTTACCTTAGAATATAGCTAAACTAATAATAGAGCTAATTAAGCCCTTATATAATACATAAACAACTTAAACATTAATTGTATAAAAGTAATTATAATTAGCTTTAAGAAATATATCTCTAAGAACAAGATTTATATAAGAGGTTAAGAGTTTTTTATAAATCTAAGGTTATATAATACCTTTATATTAAAGAGATAACATTTATAATTTATTATTAAAACAAATAATTTAGAATAGATTATATAAGTTAACTATAATCTTAATATTCTAGAAGAAATAGAGAAAAGATAAGAATTATATAACGTATATATATAATAAGTTACTCATTATAGTAAGTTACCTACTTTCACTTACCCTCTAGCTATTTATATAAGTTAATTAAGTAGTATTATATAAAATTAATTAAAACTACTTATTATCCTCTTTTTTAAAGGTCTCTTATATTACCTAACATATTTATACATTATGTTTAGTCTTTCTATAATTACTATATCGCTAACTATGTAATTTACCCCTCTCTATATAAGCCCCCTCTTAACACATATTTTTACCTTTAGCATTAATAACCCTTTTTTTACCTAAATTGCCTTAGCTTTAGCTATATTAAGTAACCCTCTAAGATATAGTTAGGTTTTTTTAGCCCTTTAGCGTTTACTTAATACCTTATTTATTATATAAAGCCTATAGTTCTTAGCCTTAAGAAAAGCTAATTAATATATTAACTTAGTAATACTTTTAGTTTATAAGTTAATTACTTTATATAAATATATTAATAAACTATATTAATAACCATAAATCTTTTTCTTAAGTAATATAAAGCTTTATATAGTGTTAACGTACATGCATAGTGAGTCGGCCATCATAGTGAGTCGGCCACTTCCTTATCGTATATAAAACCCCTAGTTTTCAACTATTTTTTAAAAATCTATTTTAAGCTTAAAATAGACTAGGTTTTAACTATTAGTATTCGATAAGAGTTATATTATAAGAAATAATACTATAGAAATTCCTACCTTAGTTATT